TGAGTGGTAATGAGAGGGTTTGTTTGGGAGGTTCTAAATTTTACGTAGTAGGTTAGAGTTTTGTAGGAAAGTGGCTATGGCATGGAAGATATTGGGCGGATTGTGGGGGTTGAGAAGGAGGTGTATGTTATTGTGATATTTCTTGGGAATGTTGCTGTGTAATTGCTTAATGTTTGTTTGTTGCAGCTGGGAGTGTGTGAATATGTGGTTTATGTCTTCCTGGGTTTTACAATGTGAGCATAGTCCATCTGGATGTCTGTTTTGTTTATAGAGTGTGTAATTTAAGTTTGTGATGCCTGTGATTAGTCTGGTTATTGCCGTGTCAATGTTTTTTATATTTGAATATGTGGGGATTTTTCTTATTGGGGATTTTATAATGGAGGTGACCCAGGTTGATTTGTTTGTGTTGATGTTGTGTTGAAAGTTAGTATTTGATATGTTTGTTTTAATGAGTTTTTTTATTTCTGATTAGGATGTGTGGGAGTTGAGATTTGGTGATATATGGGATGTGGCGAGTTTGGCTGCTGTATCGGCGGTGTCGTTTCCTGTGATGTTTGAGTGGCTGGGAATCCATGTGAATGTGATATTTTTGTTTGAGCGAGTGAGTGAGTCTGTTTGGATTACTATATTGTGAATGAGGTCTGGGCGCGACTTAGAGTGCATGTTGTGAAGTTGTTTGATAGAATTAAGTGAATCAGTTAGGATAAGGAAGTTTGTTTGGGGAAGGGAGGGTATTAGGTGTAGTGCAGTGAGAATAGCAGTGAGTTCAGCAGTGTTTATTGTGGTGTAGTTGGTATAGTGGAGATTTGTTGTGATGGGAGTGGTTTGTTGAACATGTATGCCTAGGCCTGTGGTTTTGTTAGTGTTGATTGATGCATCTGTATATATATATATGTGTGTGTGTGTGTGTGTGTGGGGGTTAGTTTGTATTTAAGTAGTTGTTTGTGATATCAGTTATGGTGGTTTGACGGGTGTTTTTAGGTAGTTGTTTGAGGATTGTGTCAAGGGACATGTCTGTGGTGGGTGAGGGTTTGTCGTGAATATAGCTTGTAATGGGAGGTGTGTGTTGTATGGTGTTTAGCTGTTGTGCATGTAGCAGACTGTATAAGTGGGTAAGGCATGATGCTTTAAGTGGGTTTGATTTGAACATTTTAAGTGTAGATTTTTTAATGTTTTTATATTTGTTTGTAATTAATTTAAATATGGGGTTGTGTTGGGCCCCAGTCCAGTAAGTGAGTGTGGTTTGGTTTATTCTTTGTGTGATTGAAGAGGTGCCTGTGAGTAGAAGTAATGTGTTAAGAGAGGTACCATTCCTCGCGCCGAGGGCTAATAAAGTTGGGGATAATATGCTCCCCAGGGGGGTTCCATTTTCTAAAAATGGCCATAGTATATTGTTTCTGAGCTTGTGCTACTTTGATATCTTGTTCTAAATGTAAAATGTGGTCTAAAGTTTGTCGATTTGGAGTAAAGCCGCTCTTGTCCTCCTTAAGTAAGTTGTTGGTTAGAATAAGGTGTTTGAGCCTGTTGTTTACAATTGTTTCTAGGGTTTTACAGAGGTGGGAGGTAAGAGAGATGGGGCGGTATGAGTCAGGCTCGCTGTTGGGTTTCCCTGGTTTGAGGATTGGTACCACTCTGGCTGTTTTCCAAGTGTTGGGGATAGTTCCTGTGGTCCAGATATGGTTAAAGAGGATAAGTGTGAGGTTATGCATGTTGGGGGGTACTTTGTTTAGTATTGTGTAAGTAATGGTATCTGGACCTGGGGCTGAGGCTGATTGTTTGTTTTTTCGGGCGGATTTGAGTTCATGTATGTTGATAATTTTATTTATGGGTTGGTCTGTGTGAGGAGGTTGTGGGGTGTAGGGGCGGGTGTTAATAGTGTTTTGGAAGGTGGGTGGGTAGTTGGTGGAGCTGTTTGTAGCCGAGAAGTGGGCAGCAAATGCATTTGCTTTATCTTTGTTTGTGGTTAGGTCTGGAAAGTTGGGTGAAATTGTTTTTTTAGAAATGCCCTTTATGGCTTTAAATTTATTCCACATAGTCCTGGGATTTCGATTAGATTGCCTGAGGGTAGAACAGAATTTCCTCCAATGAGTGATTTTTGCTGCCTTGATAATTTGTTTAGTTTTGTTACGTAGTTGTTTAGCTAAATGTAATTTGGAGCGGTCCCTTTTTTGACTGATTAAGGGCCTTTTTTTTGTGTGGGGTTAAACCGAAAAGTGGGAATGCATTTATCTGTGATATTTAGGATAGTGTTTGTAAGATTACTGTTAAATGTGTTTATATCGGGGCTGTAGATGGACTGACTGACTGACTGAGTTTGGTTTTACGCCGCTTTAGCAATATTCCAGCAACATCACGGCGGGAGACACCAGAAATGGGCTTCACACATTGTACCCACGTGGGGATTCGAACCCGGGTCTTCGGCGTGAGGAGCCAACGCTTTAACCACTAGGCTACCCCACCGCCCCCTGTAGATGGATGAGGTGTTTACTTGGTTGCATAGTGTTGTGATTTTTTTTTAATGTTGTATCTGGTTTCTGTGGGTGTGGGTGGAGGAGTGGTGGTTCGTGAGGTGGGGATGTGTGAAGTTAGATTATGTTGGTCTAGCCAGTCGGCAAGGCGGGTTCCATTAATGTCAGTGTAGGGTCTTGTGCCCCACAGTGGGTGATGTGCGTTAAGGTCTCCGAGTAAAATGGTATTGGGAGCTATGAATGTAGAGAGTGTTGCCAAATCTTGGGGAGTGATTTTGATATTAGGACGTCTGTAAACATTAATAATTGTGATTTTTTGTTGTTTAGTTTAGTGTTGATAGCAAGGACTTCTAGATCGGTTACGGGAATTTGTAAGATGGTATAATTAAGCTTCTCTGCATGGGGCATGAATTTGGAAGAAAGGGATTTTGGTGCTTGAGTAGTTTAGTGGTTGGTGTTTAAAAAGGGTTTTTGATGGCGATGAGGAGACTGGCTAGACTTTTGCGATACAGTTTGGATTTGTGTGCGAGAGTATGTAGTTTTTTGGCTGTGGGTTTATCCATTAATGTGGCAGCAATGATAAATTCCACTATTTTGTTTAGGTTTTGGTTGAGTTTTTGTGGTGTGAGGGTTAGTGTGGGTTTGTGGGCTGGTGGTGGGTTTTTATTAAGTGGGGGCGTTGAGTTTTGTTTGTGGGTAGGGGTTGGTGGTTTGTGTTGGGAGGTGTTTGGGGTGGGGCAGGGTTAGTGGGTTTGGATGGGGGCTGTTTTGGGACGTGTTTGTTTAGGTGGGGCAGTTGGGATGGGTGTGGGGAAGAGCGGTTGTTTGGGTGGTGGGGTTTTGGGAAGGGTTTGGGAAGGGTGTGGTTTGGGTGGGTGGGCAGGGCGTGTAAGTTTGGTGGTTGGTTGTGTGGAGCGGTGTTTGTTGGGTTTGGGTGAAGGGGGGGGGGGGTGAGTAGAGTGATGAGTTGGGCTGGAGGAAGTGTAGGGGGAAGATGAGCTAGCTAAGAGGATGGAGTTGTATGAGAGTAGGGTGCGTGCTGGTTTGGGCAGGTCAGTGTTTTTAATGTGTTTGTTGAGCCTAAGGATGTGTTTTTGTTGGATGGGACATGTATTTTGTGTAGCAGTGTGGCCAAGAGTGTTGCAGTGAATGTAGTATTTTTGTTGGCGACATTCATCTAGTGTGTGTGTGTCCGACCCGCATTTTGGACATAATATGGGTAGTTTGCATGAGTCGGATATGTGTGAGAATGAAAAGCAATATTTACATTGTTGTGGGTTTTTGCGTGTTGGGTGTACTTTGTAAGTGAGAGCGCCAAATGTAATGTGGGTTGGGAGAGTAGTGGTGTCGAACGTGAGAAAGGTTGTTTGTGTGTTAGGGTTGTAGGTGGTGGGTTGTCTGTTGTTGATGGCTCTGAAGTTTGTGATTTTAGGTTGGTTGGGGATGGTGTTTGCGATGTCAATGTAATGTTTGATGTCTGATTAAGTTTCTCTTGTGTCAATGTATATAACTCCTTGGATGGATGTCTGCCAGCGTGGATATTGCCAACTTATCTGCTTGCCGTCTATGAGAGTGTGTTTTAGGGTGTGGTTTAGTGATTGTTGGTCGGTGAATGTGATTTTGAAGCCTCGTCCGCAATTATTTATGTATCTGTATTGTATGTTGTGCTGTTTGAGGCAAAGGGCGAATTTGTTGATAGAGTATGTGTGATTGAGCGGCGTTTGTATGTTGGTGGAGAAGGCTACTAGTATGAGCTTATTATCTTGGGCTTGGGGTGGGGTGGCTTTGTCGCATTGTGTTTTGTTTGATTGGGAGCTTTCAGAGGGAGAGATGTGCGGGCGTTTATTGGATTTAGTTGTGTTGCTTGGAACAAATGGAAATACAAACAAATTTACATTGAAAAGCATATATACAAATGATAGGAAAGAAAAAAGGTATGATTTGGTAGCAAGCTACAGTTCAAAAGTTATATAGTAGGTTTAACAGGTAACACTTGCGTGTTTCCTGGCCCTGGGGGCCACGGTGCGGCGACCGGTAGAGCGTCTTTTTTTATTTCACTTCAGCTGAGATCAGTAGAGAGGAGGGTTGGAGGGGGCGAAGCCAGCTTGGTGGTGATGAATTAGACGGCGATCGGTGCGGGGCATACAAGGTGACCAGCTCCAAGCGCAGTAAGAATGAATGTCTGAGACGAGATGAATGAGACGTATTCATGTGGCCACCATCTGGTCATATACCAACGGAAAAATCCACCTCTTCTTAACAAAAAAATTGACAAAATCGACCCCTCTCAAATTGCTTTTGTTAAAAGTTTTAGTGTGTCCTGATCTGTGATCAAGTTGTTTTGCTCAAGCATTGCAAGCATTGTTTTGATAGCATTTTCGTTTTCCTAATTGGCTGTTGTTCCTAGATGGTGTTTTAAACATTAAAGGTTTCTCCATTTGTCACATTTTGATCACTACTTAATCCTCTTTCATGTATCATTAAGTAGTCTCACACTTTGATCATCACGTAATCCCCTTAAAGAATTAAGATGTTTTTGCTAGCCTGATTGGAGCCCTTTATACTCATGTTTTGATAGAACATACTTTTTAATGAGTTTGAGAAGAAAGAGAGCAAGTCAGCAATTAGGTGGGAGTGTTCCCAACGGAAACCGCTGTCTTGCAAGGGTTCAGTTCAGAACGCCTTGAAGGTCTGTGCAAGACCTACGCAGCGAAGGAAAAGACACTCGAGGACTTTCTCCACGGCATCGGCCGTTGTTTGCGTTGTTGAAATTTGGCAAGATGTTTAGTCATAGATATGTGTGAATGTGTGAAAATATATGCTGTTGTCATATTTATATATGTATTGATGCATGAATGATTAATAAATGTGAAATGTGAAAATGTGCAATTGTCATACATGTATTTATATACGCAAAAATGAGCTTACATATGTATTTTGGTTTTTTTTGTTATCGATTATGAATGACTGATATGAATAAAATTCATTTCTGTGACTAAATATGTCATGATTTTTTTTCTTAGGGTGGAATTTATTAGGGGTGGATTTTGTCCGGGGTGGATTTTGTCCTAGGTTGCAATTTTGGAGTGGATTTTGTCCAGGTGGATTTTGTCCTGGGTTCAACATAATGGCGCGCATTGCCTGACTATCAAAAGTGACCCGAATGCACATTACACCTTGGCAGAACCGCATTTCCAAGGGATTTCCGATACACTAAAAGTATAATAAGTATTAACACTACAGGTATTGCTGTTATGGTTAGATTCCAAATTATTGTACTTTTTAGTTCTGTCAAGCATATCCATTCCTGTATTGCTCAACTATCTAATGTTGCACAACAACATATTATATATTTCCAGAATCCCACATGAATGATCTTGCACATGCTCTATAGGTGTAAATATTAACGCCGCCGGTATAGCCGGTGTACAGATTCATCTAAATTCCGCCAATCTATATCACGTCCCATATATTTTGCAGCTCGCACGTTAATACTTATATAGCTCCACCACTGAATGTGCAACATGTGCGTATTATACATTGTCTGTCTAAAACATGCCTTAAATGGCTTTCAAACGCGCTATAGAAATGAATTTTCTGAGGTGATGTGTAAGAGTAGTAGCCGTTATATCATGACTGCATGATGTTGGTGAAAAATTGCTATATCACAGAAGAATTCAACTTCAGTACAATTACACAAAACATCACGTCGGAGTTTCAATCTGGACTGGTTACCAGGGGCAGCACAATATTCACGTTTGCATATTTGGAGAGAGCGTTTCCTCAGGTTTCCAACAATGTATAACATGCATAGATATGACAAAGACTGACTGACTGAGTTTGGTTTTACGCCGCTTTTAGCAATATTCCAGCAACATCACGGCGGGGGACACCAGAAGATATGACAAAGAAGGAGGCTTCCAAAATGCAATAGCGCAGGCGACTTCCACCGGAGGCTGGGTGGAACAAACTTCTTCCACCGGGACCTACGTGGAAGAAAAACACACAGCTTAAAATCACAGAAACCTTAATTGCTCGGCTATAAATTTGCATAAAAACAAACGGAAACATTCACCGTGTAACTCCAGGATCCAGCTATCCAGCGAGCGCGTGTAAGGCGATTTATGCAGCTCCCAAGGGAGCCGTGCTGAAATAGGCGATACAGTATGGTGTGTAATCTTTTCGTTTATGTGGAGGAGTAAACTAGTAATTCTTAAAGAACAATCGAACATCATCTTTGTAAGAATGGCAAGCTGTTTGATAAATTCAATGCCTTAGGACTTCTGAGTGGTTTAGTGCGAAACACTTCCCAAAACGCTCCATGGTAAGAGGAAAGACTTCAACTTTTCCAAATGTATTTTTTCTTTACCGAAGTCCCTCCAGCCTTTGCACAACTTTTAAGGCACAAACACGCCCCTTCTTTGTACGAATTAGATTATTTGACACGGGTTAGATAATTCAAGGCCTCCGAGAGTATAAATGGAAGGCATATAGCGAACACTTACCCGTTCGATGCATCGATGTTCGACTAGGCATTACATTTGTTTTTTCATTCTTGTAAAATCAGTATGTCAGTGTTGTCCATATACACTTGCTTATAATATACTCGGAATCGTATAATGAAATCTAGTCTGCCAGTAGTATATATAGGGCATCATTCTCAGTTGGAAGGTTTCATTTTTTCTTCCTATGGGGCAGTGGAGTAAAACCCGAAAACCCGGGTTCGATTCCCCACATTGGTACAATGTGTGAAGTCCGTTTCTGGTGTCCCTAGTCGTGATGCTGCTGGAATAGTGTTAAAAGCGGCGTAAAACCACGAGTTATCTCACCTATTCTCACGTTTTTGACCAATTTTAGACAATGTAAAATCTGTTCTCGTTTTTCTGAACAGAGGCTTGGTGAATAATTATTTTTTCTGGGTTAAATCTCCTGGTCTGAATCCAGCCCACGTGTCGTCTATAATGATGTTATTGTTTCACCAGGACTGGAACCTTTTATCCAGACAAACACCCCAATAAATTGCATAAGGCATGAAAGTGAGATTGTATATGGAATTGGTCAGATTATGCCCTTTTCCGATACCTCTGGAACGGCACCAATGTGTAAAATTATTTTGAGCAAATGTAAAAGAATGGTGTAATGATACTTAGTGGATTTTTATTAACGATGACGAAAAGAAAATGCGCATTGTTCTTAATTCATGAATGAGTCCAATTAGGTCCTAAGGAATTTTCCTTTCGCGATGTACTCGAAGGCTCATAGCTAATTCAAAACACGAGTTTGCAAAATCGAAGAGCTTTAAACGCCTCAAATGTTTTACGGTTATTCCTGGGCCTTGTTAAATTCAATCCAGCCGCGCTCGTGATAAACTCGCTATCTTCTGAAATGTATTCCACGATGCTTTTACCACCACGGGGAAGAGAGTAATGGAATCTTAACGATGCAATGTTTTCAGAATTTCTGGAAAACTCGGTACACATAGCTTCTTACGCTTTAATCAAATTCATCAACCTGGTTAGGTGAATATTTTGTTGTTATTGGCCAAACTGTTTGTTACAACGGATCGGCATGTGGTGATTGTGAGTGTGCGTGTGCGTGCGTGTGTGTGCGAGCGCCTGCGTGCGTGCGTGTGTGTGTGTGTGCGTGCGTGCGCGCGTGCGTGCGGTGGGGTGTCCAGTGAACCCTCCATCAATAAATGTTGCAGATCCTGGCTGATAATGTCAGGATCCTGTAAAGTATTGATATGGTGTAGTGTATTAGCAAGTGTGTATATTAGCAGGGTAACTATATGCATTATCGTATATGGGGTATAGTATATGTATTAGGAAGTTGCGGCGTGTGTATTAGCGAGTTCTGATATGTGTATGAGCAATCATGGTGTCGCGGGAAGGTGACGTTGTTCTGCATATTTCTACTCCTGTTTCATGGATTCTTGGACCCGTGAAGATCCGGGTGTAGAATAGGTCTTCAGCAACCCATGTGCTTGCTAGAAAAGGCTACTATGCTTGTCGTAAGAGGCGACTAACGGGATCGGGTGGTCAGTTTCGCTGACTTGGTTGACACATGTCATCGGTTCCCAATTGCGCAGATCGATGCTCATGCTGTTGATCACTGGATTGTCTGGTCCAGACTCGATTATTTACAGACCGCCGCCATATAGTTGGGATATTGCTGAGTGCGGCGTAAAACTAAACTCACTCACTCACACACTCATGGATTCTTACTGGATTGTGCATGCTGTGGATATGAGTCAGTTTATTTGTTGTTTAACTGCGAACTCTGATATATTCCAGCTATATCACGGTGGTCTTTATATAATCGATCTTAGACCAGACAATGCACTGCAGTGATTAATATCATATCGATCTGCGCAGTTGGGAGACGATGACATGCATAAAGCAGATCAGAAAGTCTGACCACCCGATCCCGACAGTCGCCTCTTACGACAAACGTGGGTTGCTGAAGACCAATTTTATCCCTGATCGTCACGGGTAGTGGACATTTGTAACTAATGATGACTATTGGTGACGTAAGTTCGTTGATTATTTAAAGATTTGGTGTTAATTTCGGTTATGTTGAAGTACCATCTACGTAGATGATGTCTATATAATTAAAGTGTGTAATTATACGCTCCCAAAGAAATTTCCTGGGATATATGTAAATACTAAATCCAATTGAAAACGCACCGGATCGGTGGGGATTAAATTATAGATTGCTGCTGGAGCCGATGATGTGTCATAAATAATGGCCTTGGTCTGCAGACATGGCAGTCACCGCCTTATAGATCAAACTAAATCCGGTTAACAGTTATTGTGGATGGAATCAGGCGTCTTGGCTCTCCACACGAACACTATATGAAAATCTCAGATTTAGTCTCAACTGATGTTCAGAACTTTTAAAGGTATCGGTTCTGTAGGACAATGAAGGAGACTTATGTTATTAGTTATTAGTTATAGCACTTCCACGATGTGTAATTTCATCCTGCTAAGAAGATTGGACTTTAGTGTTATCTGCGTCTGTGCAGGTATAAATATAAAGGGGCTTGACTCCCTACACGAGTGCAATGTGGGAAAATTATTGGTGTCCATTGTAGTGATACTGCTTGAATATTGCTAAAAGCGACGTTGAAACTTGCTCGCTCACCCACCCAATGAGGACACATCCTTTTTCAGTAAGTGATCACAGTGATTTAGAAACAATGTCACTTTTCCGAGTTCTACTCCCAATCCTAGAGCTATATGTAAAACAAATTCTGAGTAACATCTGTTGGGATTTTTCCAACTCACTGGGTTTGTAACAGTAATGTAAATATTTCAACTCTGTGCAGAAAGTTTGTGTCTCCTCTCGAGATTTTTAATATTCGGTTACTTCCGTGTAAATAAAATGCATGTGACCCCGTGGCTTTATTTACTGACTATCAGATAGCATGCCTCTTATGAGATTTGCGTTATCCTGTTTCTGTCCCGGTTTGTGTGTGTGTGTGTGTGTGCGTGCGTGCGTGTGTGTGTGTGTGCGTGCGCGTTCTGGAACAGTAATGTAAATATTTCAACTCTATGCAGAAAGTTTGTGTCTCCTCTCGAGATTTTTAATATTCGGTTACTTCCGTGTGAATAAAATGCATGTGATCCCGTGGC